TACAAATTACTCCCAGTGAATCCACATTGGGCATATAGTACATTTTGAGGACAGCCATCCACCAAAGCAACTGTCGCGGTTCCAGAAGTAACACTGTGATGTTTTAACAAAGAGAACATAAATGACCTGGGGGAGCAGCAAAACAGAAATTCCTCAATGGGATTTCTTAATAAAGTGCTCATGGTCACGACATCACCACACACTATTCTATGACCTTAAGGTTAGGAAAACATTAAACAAACAGGGGGAAAAGAACAAACAAAAAAACCTGTCAACAAAGCAAAAAAACCCAGTCCAGCCATATAGAGAGCATAGTCATTTGCACCAAGTATGCGATGCCAATATTTCCTCATCTTTGATGCCTAAAATAATATTATTTTGGAAAGGAAAACTAATCTCAAAGGCAACTAGACTAGGAATACCCTCTTTTATTAATAGTAAAGAAACAAAAACTAAGAGGAATCCTGAATTCTAGCCTGTCATGAACCACTGCTGAAAACATCGGTATTTCGCAAAAAGCTGGTCAAACATATTTAACATATTGCCTTTATCTTACAATTTCAACTTCTCAGTGATTGCTACCAACTACAACAAATCTGATTGGAAGAAACCGCAATGGGAAATCTTCAGAAAAACACTGTACAGACAGCTTGGGTATTTTAGGGGGAGAAAAGCAGCACCACAAACACTGAAATTAAGAAGCCCAGTTTCCTGCCAGGGTTCATCTGTAGGTGATAATCTGATAATCACTGAGGCCTCTGGGTTAAAAAACAACACAAAACCCCCAAATCTGTTTTATGGACAGGGCATTCTGCCTGATCCCTTATGGTGCCAAAATGTGGGACCCTGAGGGGAGGGAGTAGGTGTAGAGTTTCTTCTTTTTCTGGCTGCTTCCCACACACATACGCAAAACCCACACTATTACCATTGCAGCTGAGACTTCTACATACCCATCAGCTTAAGATGAAACTAGAGAGAAGGTCAGAAGTTGTCAGTGTGAGGAGGAACACAGCAACAACTCCGCAAGTCCTCATAAGAAACCAGGTTTTAACAAAACAATCCCACAAACCCAAAGCAATCCTTGGCTGAACTACAAAATAGCGACATCCTTATCTATTTTAAGCCAGTAAGACTAGTGTTGCCAGAACCATACTGAAGCCAAACACACTGGGGTCCGCTCCTGCAGCAGTACTCTGCCTCTGGCAGAGGGCCACCTGGAGCCAGCTAGGGCACCTTGCCCAAGGCTCTGCAGAAGTTTGGTTGCCTGCACCCGAGGCCAGCTCTGACATGGTGCAGGTGTATGACCCAAAAAGCTGGGAGAAGTCTTGACTGGGGCTACCCATATTGCTCAAGAGCTCCAGCACTTGGCCCCAGACGGAGCAATGCCGCAGCTACGCCTGTTTTCCGGCTGAATCTATCCCTCCAACCTGACTCCCTGGCTTGACCTTGGGTCTCAGTACAGCCTGGCCAGTGATCATCAGAACACAGCTGCCGCCAGCTAACACCCCCAGTCCTGCTCTGCTCACCTCCCCAGCACACAGTGGGCCCGCACCCCATCGGGAAGCCCCACAATGCCTACCCCTCTTGCCCCACAGGGCAGCTGCTCCTCAGTGGCTTGCCACCATTCAAGGTCTCCTCTATGCCTGGGTGTCTCCTCACCCTCCCTAATGGCATCGCTTCTGTGTTACAGTATAAAGATTACTTAGATGGGGCTAGGGTTTGGCCCTAATTGCTCAAAGGCTGATCTTCTGCCCGTTCAAGCAGGTTACTGGCTTTTCAGGGTTGGTTACCAGTTTGCTCCCTGCACACCTGAGTCATGGTACCAGCAGACCAGAGGCAGTTGAGCACCTCACCATGTTTACTGGTTTGCATCATTATGACTAACTGAAAAACTAAATAACTGCAAATTGAGATTACTGAGGCAGCAAGCTCATTGTACGGACTGAAAAAAAAAAAATTAAAAATATTGTCTTACATCAGAACCCAGTCATAATTTCCAAACTCTGGCACCCAGATCCTAAAGCACCTTGTGGCAAGCATAGACTTTAACCACCAATTTCACCACTTTAACATAGGGACCTTATTTCAAGCCACACAACTTTTTTTTGCAGTTTTTTTCCTTAGTCTCAGATTCCAATTTCCATCTTAATTACCAGAGGAATTTCCTAGAGCAGAGTGACTTAAGTAGATGGTTATACCCATATTCTAGTACTCTGCACCTTGAATACACTGTGAACAACAGGGCCAGAGGTCAAGTGTTTTCATAGTTAACCGCAAAGTGCAGTCACTTTTAAATAATCTCCCTTTCTCAAAGTGGTACTGATTTTGATGGATTTTCCTAGGAAGGAAGGATCAGGGATCATTTAATTAAAGCACAGATTTGGGTGCCAGGGCTCAGCGCCAACCTCTGTGATCAACCCTGTCTAAAACCTTGAACACATTCCACCAGGGCTCTGAGCTTAGCTAGACTGAGAGTAACTGGTATTTTCTACTTTTAAGTGCTGGACCCAATGCATACTACCTGATTTGCTTGTGAACACCCAACTACTAATAAAATTTAAACCAAAATCTCAAAATAATTCATTACCACACATGCACTCAAGAGACAATGCTCAGAAGATTAACATTTCAAAACTAAGCTCCCAGGAGTCGAGGAGCGCTGGCATGAAGGTTGCCCATGCAATCACATTTGAGCCCTCTGGTGCATGCACTTAAGGATATCGTCTTTAATTACTGAATTGCTTTTGCGCCAACACTTCATTCAGCATTCAGTTTGACATGCTCACCCAAGGCAGAGCAAGTCAGTATTCAGTTTTACCTGCCCTGGTCAGAATGTGGTCAGATGCATTATTTACTGAATACTGTTAAGTCCCAGCTTGGAGTACAAAAATTTTTCATTTTGTTGGCAGCTTTGCTGTGGCATTCAGCATTAAGCACCTGCATATTTCTGAAGCAAGGTTATTTATCAGAAGAGTGGGCCTGAAAATAAGAGGAGGGTATATCTCCTCTACTTCACAGGTAAGAAGCAAGACTGAGACTGTGTAGACACAGTAGGGCAAAAAAGTCTCCACTAATTTGAGGTACTCGACTTAAGGTGTCGCTGGTGTCATTTTTTTCAGAGCACTCTGCACTTCAGAGAACTCTGCATCCTCAAAAGGAACCACAGCCTCCACTGGCCTCTGCCACAGAAGACAACACTCCACACTTCTGAAAAAAAACCCACATAAAGTACAGATACACACACAACACAAGAGAAACATCACAAAAACTTGTCATTAGTGATTTGTACAGCTTCACACAGGGCAGTTTTCTTTTTTGGCAGAAGAAAACAAAATCCAACCCCAGCAGTCAACAGTCAATTTCTCTAACCATGAAAACTTCCTCCTTTTTTTTTTTGCCATGTAAATCCTCTCCATTTCTGCATCAAAGAACAAATGGTTCTACCAGACAACACCCGAATCAGCAATTCATCCCCTTGAAAGCCTTATGCTGTGCACTGATGACAACACACATACACACAAGAAGTGTTCGCTAACTTATGAACCCCTTAAAGAGGTTCCTCCCTTTCAGTAGCTGTTCAGTCATAAAAGGTTAAAGTCCCCCACCTGAGAGTTTAGGAGATTAAAGAGAGAAAAAAAACTGAGTCATCACTTTTAGGCATTTTACTGCTGAGTAGTACCTCCCTCAGAAACTTCATTGACACTTCAAAACTTGAAATTCTTTCGGTCCCATCAGATCAGAACACTATTTCCACAATATATTTCACTATTGATAAGAGTAATGATTCTGTATAGGTCAATACATCAATCAAGTGTTACTGCTTCAGTGAAACTGTCAGGCTTCCCTATAAACATAGCTCTCAAATAAATAGAGACACTCAACCAACATTCACATACTCAACCTATTTCCAATAGAGAAACAGAAACTGTAAATGCAGGAGCTATCTATAACATGGGTAGATATTATGCAGAAAATATTTCAAATTCCTTAAGTAGCTGCTCTCACTGAAAAGTAGACCATTATCAACAGCTTTACACTAAGCAACATGTAATTTATAAAGATAATTCAGAACCGATTAATAAGATGCGATATTTAAAGACAATATAAAATATCTGCATTGGGGAATGTACCTAAAATCTGTAACAACAGTTTTGGCAATGAAATTTTCAACTGTGCAAAAGCACTTTTACTGATACAAAGCACCAAATCTCAAATATCTTGCAAAATATTATAGCGGCACTGCAGTTATTTGTATTTGTTATTCCTGATAGAGAGGTATCAAAAGAATGAAGAAATAAAGTTCCATCTCTTTTTGCATATCTAAGTATTCAAGATAGTATGGAAGCATACCAGCTCATTACCACAGCTTTCTTCTTATCAAGAGAGGCCAGCAAAACTATTCTCAAGAAAACAGGAAAGCATACTTAAGTGAGATTAATTTGACACTTTGCTCTACTACAGTTTTAGGAATGACAATGGAGGATCCCAAACATTAAGCACTTATTTTAAAATGCAGATGTATGACTTAACAGAGAATACTAAAAAGTACAAATAGTCATTTGAGTTCAAAAAGCACAATAGTTTTACTGTTACTCTTCACTGCCTAACAGCTTCAGAAGATTCTCAAAAGGTAAGTAATTCTACATGCTTCATCTTGCATTTCTTGTCCACTCAAAAATCCTATGGATGCAAAAGGCAAACCTAAGCAGCAAAGGCTGCAAATTATTTTAGAACAGGTTCTAGTAACAGCTTGCTGCAGCATCAGTCCACAACACAATACCATAAACTCTGAAGAATAACTCAGTGATAAACATGTATGTACATGTGCACGCCTGCGCATGAACTTGTTCTGCAGGCTAGCAAAAAAAGTAGGAAAATAAGTGATATGTGTATCTTATGGCATACAAAGTTCAAAGAATCCTTCCAGAGGAGAATTAACACCTGAAAAGATACTGGCTTTTCCTTCACATATGCAATCAGAGTCATTCTATCGTACTTACCAATATTTTGTTATCCCCTTTATCTCCCTTGGTTTCCAGCTTTACTTTCTTCTTGACCGAAATTTTTATTTTCCTCCCAATAACATCCCTGACACTTTCTGAAATAAAAGAAAATACCTTAATTAAATGCCTTCCATGTCAACATGAGAAGGGAACAGATATCATTGTCAATTTTTCAAAAAGACTCAGAGCTATGTTGTTTAATCACTTGCATTCACGGAAGTCTCACACACACGCACCAGTACTAAACACAATCTAACACAAGTGCAACTTTTGTAAGAGTGTCATCTACACAATGATTTATGTCTGCTATGATAGGATTATTGAGTTCATATGCCAGGATTCTAAACATAATTTTATATTTCTTTCCTGCACTGCTTACACATCAAAAACATTCCCAAGACAAACCTCAGCACTGCTTAGCTCTCCTCTGGGAAAACACAAAAAATTCCTCACCTGCTACTCTTTGTAGCTGAAAGCTTCCTAAAGCAAATTAGCTTCTTGCATTGCAAAAATTTTAGCCTGTTGTTGTTAATATCAGGGAGGCTAAATGGGTCAGATAACGGAAAAGCCAGTGTTCGCACATTTGCACTCTGCACATTTACGCTGCAAAGCAAATTAAGCAGACTTCCAAATACTAACACTGGACAGCTACGCAGCAGATGCTATGGAAGGCAATACTGGTCTGGGTCCAAGTCTCAACGGCAATGTAGCCACCTCATGGTGCCAACACCAAAGTTACATTAATTGCCATAATGTTTTAATACTCATAAGCATACACATGTATACACGGTCTCTGCCAAGTATGAAATGAACCAGCCTCTCCCCTAAAGGTTTGCACCCTGGCCTGAAAGGAAAGTGTATGCAGGGAATCGTGTCAGAAAGCTTGTACAACTACTGACACTGATGTAATCGAGAGATAAACAGAGGAGTTCATCTAGAAGAGCCAATTTGGCACCTTCCATAAATTTCACTCCCCAGCCCCCACAGAAAAGGCATGAGAAAGAAATCTTTTAAACACATTAACCTATTTCCAGCACTACAACTGGCATCTGTAAAAGGCAAGTCTCCACCCTCCCCAGAGACACACTTTGCCCTCGTGCACGCTAAAGTTTAAAGGCTAAAATTGAAGACAATGGGCTCTTCCCAAGGCTTTTAATTATAGCGCTCTGTATAGCACTTTTCTGCACAATTTTCATCCAGTAGCCAGCATGCATTAGCACAAACAACACACCACTTATAAAGCCTGGACATTTAGCCCAGGCCACAGCTCTCTGCCTGCAGGGCAGGAGGGTGTGCAAGTCATAAGTGTGCCTTGTCGGAGCCACTCTCCACCAGAAAGAGTTCTTTCTGCAGAATCGGCATGTTTTCCCCAGGAATTTTAATTTTCCTATCAGGAAACAAAAGCTCCTCGGTAGCAGCGGACTGCCCGGCGAGAAGCCTGCCCCAAGCCACGGCAGCCCCGTGGCAGTCAGCCAGCCCGGCCGGCTCCCTGGGCAACCGCTTGGTCAGGAGCCAGGCTGCAAGCTCCCGGAGCAGCCAGGTACGCAAAGCCCAGGGGAAAGTCCAGCCCTGTCCTCCCCATGTGAACTGTTTTCCCGAGGCTTCCTCTCCCATGACTAATGCCTAGTTCTGGTCTTTCTGCTGTCCCTGCTTGGGAACCCAGAAGCAAGCTGACCACACAGTCTCTTTCATAAAGTCCTACCACCTTGCAGAAGGAAAGGTATTGCTGCTGTCTCTGCTACTTTACCTCCGCCCCCAGCCTCTGCCTTTTGGTTTCTCCTCTCCCACGAACAGCTTTGGAGCTGCCTGCATCTAGCAAGGGACTTCCTCCTGAGGCACCAGCGTGGGGAGAGACGCTTCCCTTCACTGTCCCACAGGTCCCACACAGCAGCAGTAGGAACAACTGCAGGCCCTCAGCTCCAGCACTTGTACTTCAACACACGACAGGCAGAGAAAGGGCCTGGCACCTGAGACTTCTCCGTAGAGCATCAGGACGTCAGCTCCCTCCAAGGCTCTATCTGCCAGAAAGGGGTAGAAAAGCTTCTTCAAAGAGCTAAGATATAGATTTCATAGATGTTTCCCATGTGACTGAGGACACTTCTTTGCACATTGTCGGAAAGTGGACTTGCACAGAAGTTTTTCAGACTGAGAGATGGAAACACAACATTCAGACTCATATTTTCAAGTGCTCATTCATTTTTAACACTGGAGACTACAAGTGCCTGCTTTCAGACACTCGCGCCTCGGAAGGAACGGATCCAGGTAAGCCAACAGTAAGAGAGGGTTTTTTGAAGACTATGACCTACAAGACCTGACAAAGGTCACACGGGAAGTGAGTAACAGAATAAAAACTGCAGCTCAAACACTCCTACCCCCAATTTAATCTCCACACTCCAATCACTAAGTGCTAAGGCACATCCTTTCTTTCATCCTGTTCTCAAAACACAAGGTTACTACAAAAAGCCTATTTAAAAGGTTAAATTTTAACATGCAGACACCAAAATACTGCTACAAATCAAACCAACCTACATGAACAGATCCCCACTCCCCAGAAGAGCCCTTGGCAAAGCAAGCTGGGTGGGTGCAGAACGCCAGGAGCACGGGATAATTCTTAAAGTCATCCAAAGCCACCAGAGGATGGGATGCGTGAAGATGCTCACTTTGCTCTTCCTCATAATATGCACTGCGCTCCACTCCACTCATGGAATACTAGAGTACAGGGCAGATCCACAGTGCATAAGTACCATGTATTAGCACCTCAACACGCTTGGCCATTTTAAAGAAAGAAGTTGTTAACGGTTTTGGCCATAGCTACTCCTAACACACTTCCCAGCTCATCGCTTCTTAGTAGTAAACTGTAGACTAAAGCAAACCCCACAGTTTGCACACTAAAAGGATTTCAAAAGAGCTATTTTGTCTATACAGAAAACCATTCTGCAACAGCTGCAACTTGCTATCCAGATTTTTACCAATATTTTATAAACGGTAAAACCAGTTCCCATCAATAGCACTGGCTGACGAAACTGAAGGAAATGCAACAGTGTACGTGAACTAGGAGAGGCTTGTGAGGACTGCATTCAATGCAACATGTACCTTGCCGCTCGACAAATTTCTGTTCCCATCTGTCATTAAGGCAACATTTTAAAATAAACCATCCTTAGATCTCTCTTCGACAGGCAAAAACTGCAGCTAAAACCGAAGGAAGTTTGGCTTGGGCAAGGTGGCTGAGGACCAGGCCGAAAGCCCAAATGACTGGTTATCAGCGTACCATGCTAATGATCCATTTATCGAAGGGTACCCCCACAGCGATGCCAACATTTTCAGGGACCTTACCACCACCTACGCTTTCCTAAGCGTTACCATGGAACATGGAGGGGTTCGTCTGCATGTGACCATAAAACTTTAATTACAAATACCCTCGCTCTCATGCATACCTAGGAAAACGAGTCTTAAACTACGCAAAGCCCAGGGGGTGGTGGTGGTGGGGAATAAAAAAGCAACACCGGGAGCCCCAGCCCGCCTGAGGCGCCGGGCGGCCCTGACCCGGTCGGAGATGCGGCTGTCCCGGCGTGGGTGGCACGGCCGGACCGGGCCACTGTCACCGCGCCTCTGCCTGGCCCCCGGCGA